CAATCTTTCCTTGAACGCAAAATGGCTTGACAAACGGGACGCGGAGCTTGCGGAGTAAATGTTTGTTCAGATCAGGCGTAGACGTGGCGTGAAGCGTATTTGCGTTAAAAAAGAGGGGAAGCTGTCCTTTGCTTCTGACTTTCTTTGGAGCGTGTGTTGGAGCGCTGTGCGTTGTTTCCTCCGCGAAAGTTTTGCATGCTGGTTTTTCGCATGGACATGTCTTGGATGAGTTGGTCCCTGAGTATTTTCGAATAGCCTCCGAAATGGCGAGCGCAGCCATCACGAACGGACTACAAACCCCCGTGCAAGGTGAGCTGATGCGCGCAATCAACCCACTAGGAGTCAGTCATCAAGCTGGCCTCGAGTCTCAAGACAGAAGTCAAGGCATTGGCGAGGCTGGGTGAGTGCCGGCTCTTAGGAAATCAATCATCACATCCGTACAGGCAACGTCTCCTTACACCTTAGCGGCAAAGCGACTGGCAGCTTCCTTGAACAAACCTCTTGAGGGCAAGTCTTTTTTTCAACTTTCAACCGCAGTGGTCTGGTCTGACCTACTCACGAGCTTTGTACACGACGTCAACGCTGCGGCTGCTCTGTGGCAGCAGACCTAGTGGGATTGAAACAAGTGAGGCGCAGCCCCACAGGAGCCGTAGCTCACTAATTGTGGGAGGGCTGCAGCGTACTGGGCACAAGTAGAACGCTGAAAGGAGATGGGGCCTGAAAAGGCTTCCCAACAGCTTGAGCAGCGAAAGTTTGGTCGCAAACAAAAACAAGGCAAGTAGCCCTCAGTCACTACATTGACAAGCAACGTGCAAGAGACTTTTTGCTGGCACTGCTTCAAGGTGTAGGTGTGGCCAATATCTGGGCATGATATGTGATAGCTCAAGCGGCTGGGCCGCCAACCGTACAAACAGGGAACACGTTTCACATTGCCTATTCGGTTTTTGAGTGGATGCCGAGGGGGTGGTTGTAATCTGGTCGTGATGGTTGCACTCGCCATTTCGGGTTGAGTACGCCCGTGGACTAACCCCATCTCAAAGCGTCGATGTTGCCCCCGACCGCGAAAAGAATTGCCCGCGTGAGCTAGCTTTGTTTCAGGCTGCATGTGTGAATACCGATTTTTTGATAATAGATTTTTTGATGGGAATATATGTCCTGGTAATTGGAAAATTTTCTCTGTATGCTTTTGCAATCTTTCCTTGAACGCAAAATGGTCTGACAAACTTTGAAAGTCGAGCAGTCTAGCTCTTTGAGTTTGAGAGTTGAGGGAGTTGTGGAGCAGCCAGAGGTCCGCGAGCGGGGGGCCTAATGGGAGACTGCGGGACAATGCCGATCCGATGCTCTTCTGAT